AGAATCTCATGACGTGTTACTATCGTCACGAGACTTCCGCTGTCGTAACATTATTTTCTCTTCAAAAGTTTTTTGTTTGTTCGAAGTTAAGTACAAAGCTACACAATGGGTTATCTGTGCTCTGCTCACCACGGGAATCGAAACCCGGTTTTTAGTGTTGTAAGTCCGCAGACATACCGCTGTGCCACTAGGGGGCCTCTTCAAAAGTATGTTCCTTTTAATGTGTAAGCGCTATTTAGATCTTAAACACATTTCACTTTGTTTGTTTTTTGTTTTGTTTTTTTTTGCTGTCGTTAATTTTTTTGTTTGTTTTTCAACACGAGAATAGCTTAACAAGTGTAGTATACTCAAATATTTTTCTGTCTTTATCAGTCAGTATCTCCATGTAGCACTATTTAACGTGTACATAAGTATTTAACAATGTTGAATCGAATAAATATATTATGTCAACCATGTTTGTACCAATTAATGTGTAAGCTTTGCATTTATGTTTTGAATTGCCCGAAAATATAAATTGAAAATCAATATCACAATCAAAAGAATTTCTAGTATATCGACATATCAGACAAGATATGTAAAGAGATCGTTTTCTGTTGGGTTTCCTTGACTACATCTTCATGTATGTAAAATATCATAATCTCTGTATACGAGGAAATGTATAAATGGGCGAAGAAGAAAATGTGTTTGAAGAATAACACATACATTAAATGTTTAGCAGAGGCGTAATTTTCGTGAGGTACAAGTGCCCCACACTTTTTCAAGAATATATGCCTTTCTTTGATAGAATACCCTCACGCATACCACACCTACAGAAAATACCTCCTAACGTTTGAAACCAATTACTCTTCTGATGTTTAGTAAATTATGCAATACAGATAAGGACTTAGATCACTTTATTTTACGATCGTGAGGCCTGTCAACTGCTAAATTTTCTTTTTTACTATTTTAATTAAATATATAAGTTTTGTTGTTGCTATTAGATGTATTTAACACTATACTTAAACGTCGTTGACGTTCATAACATAAAGTAAAATATTCATACGCCTTCATCATGATTAATTATTGTAATTGCTGGAATTAACTTATAAAAACAGACACTTATGAATATGACGTAATCTGTTCATGCGTCAGCCATTTCCGCGTTATTTATCATTCACCAGCCGGTTGTCGCAGCTAAGATTGTTTGTTTGTAGTTAAGCACAAAGTTACACAATGGGCTGTCTGTGCTCTGCCCACAACGAGTATCGAAACCCAGTTTCTAGCGTTGTAAGTCCGCGGACATACCACAGCTAAGAAGCCATAGAACAGCTGGTTTTACATTCTTTATTTGATGAATTTCTCTTCAATTCCAGTAGTAACTTCAATCACGTTTAAGTATGTTATACATTTCGATGTCATGTTCGCTCAACAAGCGTTTGAGCTATTATGTACACGCATAAGTTTTATTATCCAAATATATGCACTCATTAAGCATTAAAACATTGTTGTTGCTTCTTTAAGGTAAACACAACGCTACACAGTGGGCTATCTGTGCTCTGCGCACCACGGGTATCGAAACCCGGATTCTAGCGTTATAAGTCCCCAGATATACTGCTGTGCAACTGGGGGAGGGTCATTAAAATAAAATAAAAATCAACAATTAATTGAATATAAAAGTTCAAATTTTAGGTTTCATTCTTTAGTTTGTTTGGTGTTAAGTACAAAGCTCCTTAACGGGCTCTCTGTGCTGTGTTCTCCATAAGGATCGATCTCTGAATTGTAGCGTTTTGAAGCCAAAAGCTTACCGATAAGCCACTGGGACAAAATGTCTTAAAATCTACCAGTATCAGTGTACCAAATTGAGTTGTTAAACTCAAGACTATATAAATTATTAATAAAAATAAATATGTCAAAAATATTATTTGAAATAAATAGAAGATAATGATAAGTATTTATAAATTAATAAATAGATGTATGATTTAAATATTATAAATGCTTAAAATATGTATTTATGTAAAAAAAGCAAGTTTGTAAAATCATATATGTTCTACAGCCACCTGAAAAACTTTTTTTAAGTACTTGTACTTACTTACCTAAGAAAAAACACTAAAAAATAACATTTCGATTAGTTTCGGTACTGCAAAAAGAATACTCCTTTGAGGATACTGGTTGTTATCAGTGCCCAAACTTTCTTGACGTAAGCTCCCTCCCTCTCATAATAATAAGCATCCAGATTGAGGACCCCCATTGGTTGGGAGGGTACGTCATATAGATAAGGACCCCACCGAGCCACCAGAGTGCGACTGCTAAGTTTGGTCATGGTAAATCCAAAAGTGTAAGAGGATTTCGCGAACAAACAAAAGCTTGAATTAATGTAGGATAGTTGTCGATTACAGATTACTAATTAAAATGAAATTAGTATTAGGAATTTCGAAATGGAAATTGCTAGTTTATTTAAATAGTTTTAATGAACTATAAAGTAAAACTAGTTGTTTGAAAAATAAAATTTGAATATATTTTTTTAAAAAAGCGAAACAGTAGTGTTTTGTAATTGAGGGTGATTGTTATCTAGAAGTGTCCATTTCGTTTATTATTCGAGGTTTTAGCCTACTTGTTGAACGTTGAAATGATTAAGGCTCCGGAGTTTTTCTTTTCTATTCAACATTTGTTTCAACAGAAAACTTTTTTTTTGTGAAGCTTATTAGTTATATAATATACGAGTTCTTTACTCAATTATTCACTGCTTTACATAAAAACTAATAATCGTTACGAACTGATGATCTGCGTTCTCCTTCCAACACGTGCAGAAAACAAGCGCCTAGGGTTGATTTCATTGCTAATACTATCCACGTGACCATCATATTTTCATAGTGACTACAAGATGGCGGGAACGGCATACTCGAGAACGGGGATGTTAGAAGTTTATGTTCATCAACAATGGCATAAAGTTTTAGTTACACTTGAAGAAGACTGTCTTAACATTAGTTTAGACGAAAGTTACGAAGCTACTAACGGTTCATCCAATGGATTGTCAGATACAGAGCCGCCAGATATATCTGAAAGTATTGCCAATCAAAAGAGAATGGTGCGTGTAGTGAAACAGGATAACAACGGTCTTGGTATTAGTATTAAGGGTGGAAAGGAAAATAAAATGCCAATATTGATCAGTAAAATTTTTAAGGGAATGGCAGCAGATCAAACAGAACAACTTTATGTAGGAGATGCCATCCTTTCTGTAAATGGGGAGGATCTTAGAGATGCAACTCACGACGAAGCTGTTAGAGCATTGAAAAGAGCAGGAAAAATTGTTGATTTGGAGGGTAAGTTTGCTGTGTTGGCTTTTCTTTAAAAAGTTTAATAATCAGGAGTAAACATGCAACTTAACTGTGAATTTACCATTACAATAATGCTGTTTCAGTTAACATGATCATTAATTTTGAGTCATAGGATAATAGAGTTTATGGAGGAAACACAAATGTGCAAGATAACAAAAGACCATGATTTGGTAGTAATGTAACCTTTCACTTTCACCCATAGAAACAGCCATTAAAAAATTTCGACTTAAAATGTAATTATTTGCATTAGTATATGTATCTAACAGAAGTTATAAGTTAATTTTAAGTTAACAGCACATACCACTTCATGACATGAAGCAAAAACATTCCACCAGTTTACAACTGTAAATAGATAAATTATTTCATAAGATTGATATTCTCACCCAGTATACTGGTTTATATTTCCAATATTATTATTCTACAACTCAAACAGACATTAAGTAGGTTAAGCTTTCTAACAATTTTCAGTGCCTCAATGAAGTTAACTGTAATTTTATTGTGTCTCAAAATAGAGAAGTCTTAAGTTGTTTATTCCTTTTTCGTAGCCCAATTTATTTACACAAGATATTGTTCTAGGAGTCTTTGCATGCTTTCCAGCAAATTGTATCCTGTGTGTTCACTAAAGTAAATGTTATGAAAGAAGCATCTACATATGGAACTATTTCCTTTAACAAAAAAGAAAAGAAGTAGCCCACAGAATCAAACTTTTCTTGCATTTTAGTACATACAGCAAATTTAGAAATGCCATTGTCTATACAAGTATACACCTATATAACTCATTCATATAAATAATGAAAGTTTCCCTAAATGATGATGTGATTCCTCACAATGGTCTTATTCTTCTAATTAGAAAAATTTGTGTTAACAATTATTCTTTGCTTTATACAATTAATCTAATTTAGTATCCTTCTATCCGTGTTTTATCTTTGCTGTGAATTCTGTTCATCTAACTAATTAACCTCTGTCTCATTTTGATTGAGTCTTAATTGTCTTATTTTCAAAAGCTTTAAGGTATTTGTTGAGATTGTGTTAATAAAAGAGGAGAAAGGATAATTTTGTTTGTCAGAAATAAGTTGATATTACTAAGCTTGAAGACAATGTGGAGAATGATTGGTTTGGTACTCCTAAAAGCAGAAAAAGATACTTAATGGAATATTTTGTGATCCAACTGTTCAATCAATATTGTAGATATCAATAAGGATATACATACATATGTTTGACCCTGAGCATTCTTTGGAAAATGTTGGAATTGACCTGTATCATATAGATATTAAATCCTTGGTATTAGTAAGAAAGATTAAAAGATTACAAAGGCTTGAGAAGTTTTTCCCTAGGGTTTAAAGGAGATCAAAGATCATATATGCAAGCTTCTGCATTACATTTTTGAAAGGTCAATAGAAAGAGAGCAGCTAGAGGGTTTGAGAATTGCTAATGGTTAGAGCTTGGCAATTAATGCAATTAATCAATATAATAGACTAACTTAGAACATCAGTTAGTATCATTTAGAATAATCAAGTTCTAAAAATTATGATAAAATTTAATAATCTTTCAAAATTAATGAATTAGGTTAAATTAATGTTTGATTTTGATTTTTCCAACTATCAAAGTAATTGAAATACCATTATTATTTCTGATTAATTCAGCATTGTTCAACTAATTAAAATTAGTGTTTCCAAGTGTTAATATTTTTGATTAATCCAATTATCTAAGTTTCATGTGAGAACAGTCAATTAGCTGAATGCTATCAATTAATGAACTGGATGATTAATTGATTAGCAAATTCCACTAATTGCCCAAATACTAATGATGGGGGACACTATTTTAAAATCAGGTAATAGTAGTCACCCTGGAAATTATAGATCAGTTAGTCTTCTGCAGTGGGAAAAATTCTAGAGTGATAAAAGAAGCTTTACAAAGTCATTAATTAAATATAATAAATAAAAACTATCATGGATTCAGCAAAGAGAAATCTTGGTTTGCTAATCTGTATGTTTTTTTAAATGTTGCTTGTTATCTCAATGATTGATAAAGTGTGAATCTGGTGTGCTTAGATTTCTAAACACCTTCTGATAAAATGCCATACAGAAGGTTTAGTTAAGAAAATCACATTGGTATTGGATAGGAGAAAATTTTTTAATTGGAGTGTAGGATGGTTGAATAGTAGAAAACAAAAGTTTGTTATTATTGGAACCCAGCCAAACTGGCTGTTTTCAAAACCCAGAATAAAAAATGTCTTTGAACTTGCAATAGTAAGTTGATGAGCAAGATTGAATACTCACAGAAGATAACAAGTGGATGTTGTGATTATACAATCTGTTATATTTTTTAAAATTTGTTATATGTGCTTAAATGGATTAAAGAAAATCCACACAATGATTTTACTTTCTACCTGATGAAATAAACTATACATTCTACATACCCTAATGAAATGAGATTTAATGATATAGAATATTAGGAACATTTCTCATAGTTCTCTTTACTTGTTTAATTAAATTAATATTAAGACTTAATATTATTTCTTTCATTGCTTTGAAAAGGGTTTACAATTTCATAAATTTTACATCATCATCATACACTACAAGTATGCAAGGTTTGTTATAGCTGATTTTAAAACAAAAGCTGTAAATTTCTTGTTAATTTAAAAGTACTCTGTGCTGATAAAAGATTAATCAATTTGTTTGCACTGATACACTTTGGGAATCTTTTTTTAGGTGTCATGTAAAATATGTAATAATTTTAATTAAAAATTAGTATGTGTTTTTTTTTCATTTGGTAAATACAGTGCATAAAGAACATTGAATATGCTCTGGATACATGCACCCGTATTTCTTGGTTGAACTTTCAAGTTGAAGTTATTGTTAGATATGTATGCTCATACATGTACATGCAGTCATCTCTCTCTCCCTTTCTGTGAAATTATATAATTTCAACAGTTCAAACACAGGTTTTACATGTGTATTCTGTTTATTTTAGGTACATGTACATTTAAAGGTTTTTATTATGTTTCCTCATAGAATTGTTCAAGAACTTAGTTGTTTTTTTCATGCTTTTCACATTCTTTTATGAAGGTGATTGTAGTATTGTAGATAAATAGCAGATGTAGAGTGGTTGACATATTACATATTTTTCTTCATTTTCACTCGAGGGTTCTTAGAATGTATAATCTACATATTAAGTAAGATAAGTTTTGAAAATATGTATCTATACCTATAAATAAATCAATATGTACAATACATTAATTGTTCATAGGTGATTAAAATCAGCACTATAAAACAATAATTAACTTAATATAAACCAGAAACAATATAATAAAATTGAAACTCAAAATTATGTTGTCATTCCTTATTGTCCTTAAGTCATATATGTGTATATATGTATTTGCAAAAGTTTATTGTATTTAATTATTTAGGAGTTTATTATTATTCTGAGTTGGTAATATACTACAAGACTTATTGGTGAGAATGGTAGGACTAGAGGACACAAATTTTGGCAGGACAAGAGTCTTCTTTAGCTGAAAAAGCTTTATTTTTCTAACATAGTGGTTGATTTTTGGAATGGATTGCCTTTAGATGTGGTAGATCAGTAAACTTGAGAAGTTCAAGGGAAGGCTTAATAAATATTTGAATCATAAGAGCTGATTTTGAGTCTTTTTTAAGTTTAATTTAGTGGATGGGATGGCCAAATGGACTGAAAAGTCACTTTTTATCTTTAAACTTTGTTACATGTATAATCATCACATGTTTGTTGTTTTTGAAACCAGTTTTTGAACTGTGGATAATTAATAATCTTTTTTTTTTATTTTTTTTTTTTTTTTAAAAAAA